GTTCCAATTAGATAAACTGTCCAATCAACATCTGCCATAATAGGAATTCTTGGATGAATCTATAGACTTTTGTACAAGAGTCTTTCCTTTGTCAGCAGTTTAGGAAACCTTTATCCCTCCCTCTAACTATACTTGCATACTCCTGCATATTCCTGCAGAGGACACTTACAGGAGCAAGTATTAAGGCAAGAGCTATAATGGTCAGTAATATCTAGACCTTTCAACAGTGTGGCATCTGCAGAGATCTAGGAGCCAGAATTCCTGAAGCACTATCAGCCTCCCAATCTTCAGGCATTCATGGATCTATCTTTTTTTTTTGGTCGGTCGTGGGGCTTGAACTCTGGGCCTGGGCACTGTCCCTCAGCTCTTCAGCTCAAGGCAAGCACTCTACCGCTTGAGCCACAGCGCCACTTCTGGTTTTCTGGTGGTTTACTGGAGATAGGAGTCTCACGGGTCTCTCCTGCCCGGGCTGGCTTTGAACCATGATCCTCAGATCTCAGCCTCCTGAGTAGCTAGGATTATAGGCGTGAGCCACCAGCGCTCAGCTCATGGATCTATCCTTAAGATAACAGTTTTAGTTACAACCTTACGTAGTTCTCTGAGCTTCCTACTCAGAAAGCTGAACTTTCTGAGTGCCCTTACAGGAACTTGTATGATCGTGCCTATAGCTGAACCTGCTCCATGAGCCACGTCCAAGAGACTGCCTCCTGCTCTTTCTTGTACTTATGTGCATGCTGTTCTACTTTGCCCAGTCTCCTGCCTCCTGGATATATTCTGAAGTCCATGTCACACCTCCACAACTGTTACTGATAATCCATCTCAGGACATCATTATGGCACCTGTCTCAATACTTATTCCTTTTTTAATTTTTTGTTTTTTATTTTTATTTTTTGGACTTTCATGGGGCTTTAACTTGGGGCTTAGACAATGTCCCTGAGCAGTTTTGCTCAAGGCTAGTACTCTACCACTTTGAGCCATAGCACTACTCCCTGTTTTTCTGGTGGTTAATTGGAGATAAGAGTCTTATTGACTTTCCTGCCTGTGCTGGCTTTGAACTGAGATTCTCAAGTTTCAGCTGAGTACCTAGGATTACAGGTTGAGCTACCAGTGCCCAGCTAATACTTGTTCCTTTAAGTGTAGTCTGCAGGTCCATAGCACCAACGCTACCTGGATACCTGACAGAATGAAAACTCTCAGGCTCCACCTGGACCTACTGGATTCAAATCTCTATTTTAAAATCCTAGGGGAGGGCTGGGAAGGTGGCTCAGTGGTAGAACACTTGCCTTGCATGCTCGAGGCCCTGGGTTCGATTCCTCAGCACCACATAAGCAAAAAGAAAAAAGCCGGAAGTGGCGCTGTGGCTCAAGTGGTAGAGCACTAGCCTTGAGCTGAAGAGCTTAGGGACAGTGCTCAAGCCCAGAGTTCAGGACCCATGACCGGACCCCAAAAAAAATAAAAAATAAAATTTTTTTTTTTTTTGGGTCCGGTCGTGGGGCCTGAACTCTGGGCCTGGGCGCTGTCCCTCAGCTCTTCAGCTCAAGGCTAGTGCTCTACCACTTGAGCCACAGCGCACTTCCGGCTTTTTTCTTTCTGCATATGTGGTGCTGAGGAATCGAACCCAGGGCCTCAGGCATGCAAGGCAAGCGCTCTACCACTGAGCCACCTTCCCAGCCCAATCCTAGGGGATTTTTATGATTTTATAGGCTCATGCCTGTAATTCTACCTCTTCAGGGAGCTGAAATCTGAGGACTATGGTTCAAAGTCAGCCTGGGCAAGAAAGTCTGTAAGACTCTTATCTCCAATTAACTACCAAAAACCCTGAAATGGGGCTGTGGCTCAAAGTGGTAGAGCACTATCCTTGAGCACAAAAACTCAGGGACAACACCCAGGCCCTGAGTTCAAGCCCCAGGACCTGCACCAAAAATAAATAGTCTTAGAAGTACTAACCTCTACCTCTCTCTATCTGAGCTCTGGCTTCTCTTTACTTTTTTATAGTTGTAAAGACAACCAACAGAAATACGACACAGCAATCACCCCTTGCAATCACTCACTTCATAACCAGAGGGTCTCCTCAGTAGAACAGACACCACCAACTTCTTTTACAGCTCTGTCCTAGAGCACTGAGAGAGACTTATCATCAGTTTAAACCACCAGAATTGTACTATCCTGTTTCCTATCCACACTTGAGAACCAAGTAAATATCAGGGCATTACCTCTATGATACTGAGGGGAGAGTATTATAAACATCAAGGGCTCATTTCTGTTATTCCTCTCTCACCATCTGCACTTTTCCCTTTGAATTCAAAGCCTTGTACTTGCTAGGTAGGTACTCTTACCATTTGAGCCACATCTATCATCTGACTTTTTGTTGGTTATTTTGGAAATAAGTCTAATGCGGCCAGGCACTGGAGGTTCATGCCTATAATCCTAGCTATTCAAGAGGCTGATATCACAACTCAAAGCCAGCCCAGGCAAGAAAGTTCTTGAGACTCTTATCTCTACTTAGCCACCAAAAAGCCAGAGAGCAGAGTTGTAGCTCAAGTGATAGAGACCTAACCTTGAGCAAAAAAAGCTCGGTTCTTTTTGCACCTTCCTTTGGCAACCACCAGGGCTTAAACCTGTCAGATCTTTGCAGGTATCAGAACCATTACTGCAAGCTGATGGCCTGTTGGTTCAATATGAGCCATTGGCTAGTTTTTATTGGCACATGGTGCTGCTTAAATATATGAACTAGATTTCCAACATTTAAGCTCAGGTCTGACTTCTCTTAAAAAAACTGGAAGAGCCAAGTGTTGGTGGCTCACACCTGTAATCCTAGCTACTCAGGAGGCTGAGATCTGAGGATCACCATTCAAAGCCAGAAGTGGCACTGTGGCTCAAGTGGTAGAGTGCTCACCTTGAGTTGAAGAGCTGAGGGACAGAGCCCTGGCCCACAGTTCAAGCTCCACGATGGATTAAAAAAAACAAACAAACAAAAAAAAAAAACCTGGAAGATATGGATACCCGAGGCGCTCATGATTGCACGGAAGAACCAGATAGAGATGAGAAGGAATCCGCTCTGAGATGGAGTGTGTTTACTCTGGCTTGTCTCCATGAAATAGATGCTGAGGAGACCTTGTCCCTCTGATCAGCTCTGAACTACCTGAAACTGCTTTGCCTAGAAACAGCTTCCCATTCCCAGGGCCTGTATCTCTTTGCCTCTCTACCTGAGGACTTTCTCCAGCATTAGCTGGCATTCAGGATTGCCAAGATGCAACAGAAGATTTAATGTTCCCAAAGAAATTTTCAACTTGGGGCTGGGAATGTGGCTTAATAGTAGAGTAACTGCCTAGCATGCATGAAACCCTGGGTTTGATTCCTCAGTACCATATAAAAAGAAAAAGCCAGCGGGGCGCTGGTGGCTCACACCTGTAATCTTAGCTACTCAAGAGGATGAGATCTGAGGATCGCAGTTCAAAGCCAGTCCGGGCAGGAAAGTCCGGGCAGGAAAGTCCGTGAAACTCTTATCTTCAATAAACCACTTGAAAATGGAAAGTGGTGCTGTAGCTCAAGTGATAGAGTGCAGAAGAGCACTCGTCTTGAGCTGAAGAGTGCAGGGACAACGCCCAAGCCCAGAGTTCAAGCCCCAGGACGGACCAAAAAAAAAAAAAAGAAAGAAAGAAAAGAAAAAAGAAAAACCCAGAAGTGGCACTGTGGCTCAACTGGTAGAGTGGTAGCTTTGAGCAAAAAGAAGCTCGGGAACAGTGCCCAGGACCTGAGTTTAAGCCTCAAGACAGAAAGACAGAAAGACAGAAAGACAGAAAGAAAGAAAGAAAGAAAGAAAGAAAGAAAGAAAGGAAGGAAGGAAGGAGAGAGAGAGAAAGAAAGAAAATCTCAACTCATGTGGTATATAATAATTGTAATTAAAAAAAAAAAAAGCAGCTGAGCACCAGTGGCTCACTCCTGTAATCCTAGCTACTCAGGAGGCTGAGATCTGAGGATTGAGGTTCAAAGCCAGCCAGGGCAGGAAAGCCCATGAGACTCTTTTCTTTTTTACTGTTTTTTTTGTTGATCGTGGGGCTTGAACTCTGGACCTAGGCGTTGTCCTTCAGCTCTTCAGCTCAAAGGCAAGCGCTCTACCACTTGAGCTATAGCACCACTTCTGGTTTTCTAGTGGTTTATTGGAGATAGGAGTCTCACTGTCTTTCCTGCCCAGGCTGGCTTTGAACCTCAATCCTCAGATCTCAGCCTCCTGAATAGCTAGGATTACAAGCGCAAGCCACCGGCACCTGGCACCATGAGACTCTTATCTCCAATAAACCAGTCAGAAAACCGGAAGTGGCGCTGTGGCTCAAGTGGTAAAGTGCTAGCCTTGAGCTGAAGAGTTGAGGGACAGCGCCCAGGCTCAGAGTTTAAACACCACGACCAACAAAACAAACAAACAAATAAACAACAAGAAGAAAAGAAAAACCTTCACTTCAGTGGTACGATTCTGTGGCAAAGGTCCCCAATGGGATTGGATTCTAATAGCCCACACTGGCAGCCCACTTCTTTTTTTTTTTTTTAATTTTATTTTATTTTATTTGTGAACATACTGTACAGAGGGGTTACAATTGCATGGGCAGGATAATGCGTACATTTCTTACCAAGCATTGCAGCCTCCTCCTTTGTTTACCCTTCCCATCCCTTCCCAGCCTCCCCCCTCCCCCTGGCAGCCCACTTCTTGAATTGACTTTATTCCTTTTCCTGCCTCACCTTCACTGTTTAATTTACAGCTACTGGAATCACTTCCCATGGAAATTATCTGCACCCAAACCCTTACTTCAGGGCTGACTTTCAGGAGAAACCAAACCTTCGACACTCTGCTAGTCTCACTTTACCATTTTCGTATTACCTGCCTGGCTCTCACCAGCGCAGTTCAGCGCATGTCCCTCTGATGAAGTTGCATGTTATACCACTCCCCCAATATACACACAGGTTCCCTCACCAACATCCCTAGAATAAAGGCAAAATAGACTCACCTCCCCCAAGTAACTGTACTTGCCCCTGAGTATCTGCCGGTACAGCCGGGTGCGGTTGTCATCCTCAAAGGGCATGGTGCCACTGAGCAGAATGTAGGCGATGACCCCCAGTGCCCACATATCAACAGAGTTGGTGTAAGGCTTGCGGACTAGGACCTCAGGCGCAATGTACTCAGGTGTACCACAGGTAGTCTTCATCAGGCAATCGTCACCTTTCTTGCGGGCACTGGCCAGGCCAAAGTCAGTGATGATAATCTTGGAGTCAGTGCCTGGGTGGTAGTAGAGTAGATTTTCAGGCTTGAGGTCTCGGTGTGTGATGCCCAGGGCATGCAGATACCGAACACCATCCAGCACCATCTGTAGAACCCTTGTGGCATCCCGCTCAGTGAAGGAACCCTTGGCAATGATGCGGTCGAAGAGTTCACCACCGGTGGCCAGCTCCATCACCATATACACCCGCTCCTGTGTCTCGAACACCTCCACCAGCTGGATGATGTTGGCGTGGCGGACCCGGCGCAGCACACGCAGCTCAGACTCACATACCTCCCGTCCTTCTCGGTACTTTGTCTCAATCATCTTGATGGCATATGGCTGATGGGTTGCTCGGTGCTCCACACGTACCACTCTGCTAAAGCTGCCTCGGCCAATCAGAGCCTTTATGTCATACTTAGCAGTCACACGTGGGTCAAACTTGGCTCTGTACTTAGCCACCCTGGCCCTGCGTGGTGGTTCTGAGGGAGGCTCTGTGTGGCCGCTAGTGGGGGCACTAGGGGAAGGATGTGCATATTGACTGGCAGCTGGAAATCCAGCTTTGAAAGGACCAACATGTTCCACTTCTGTGATGAAGTGCTTGCACACATCATTCTTAGTACTACTGAAGGGTTCCACCTTCTTGACCAGATCCAGCTGGACATCTTTGGTTGGCTCAGGAAGGACTTTGCTTGTCCCACAGCCCATCACGGACACAGGGGCATCCTCTCCAGTGAGGGTGGCAGGACCTGCTCCTCAGGCAGTGCCCTGTCTACACCTATGCAAACAGAAAATAGGGCATGTCAGCATACCTGGGGATCCCCCTGAAGGGATCCTGCCCCCACTCCTTCTCAATAAGCCTAGTCTGATTTAACTGAAGGCCTAACCCTGGAAAGAAGGATGGCTTTGGTCCCTAAGAGCTTAGTCCAGCTGAGTGTTCGTAGCTCATGCCTGTAATTCTAGCTACTCAGAAGGCTGAGATCTAAGGATCAAGGTTCGAAGCCAGCCCAGGCAATAAAGCCTATGAGACTCTTATCTCTAATTAACTACCAAAAAAGCCAGAAGTGGAGCTGTGGCTCAAGTGGTAGAGCACTAGTTTTGAGGGAAAAAAACTCAAAGAAACTGCCTAAGCCCAAGTTCAAGCCCAAGGACCAGTGTGTACATGCACCCACACCCCTCCCCCCCAAACACACACACAAAGAACGGAGTCAGACTTACTGGTGGCTCTAGATGAAAGGCTTGACAGAACTCTCCCTGGGTCTTAGTCTATGTTGCTCTTTTTTTTTTCCAGTCTTGGGGCTTGAACTCAGGGCCTGGGCTCTGTCCCTGAGCCTCTCTGTGCTCAAGGCTCGCACTCTACCACTTGAGCCATAGTGCCACTCCCAGCTTTTTCTGTGTATGTGGTACTGAAGAATCGAACCCAGGGCTTCATGCATGCTAGGCAAATACTCTACCACTAAGCCACATTCCCAGACCTCTATGTTGCTCTTTAAACCTGTTAGGGACAGGAAAGTGCATGAGATTCATCTGTCACAGCTCTCACTTCCCTACTCTGCCTAGGTCCCCTTTCTCCTAGTTGAAGTCCTATATATTTTAAATGTTAAAATCACTCCTTTTGTTACTCTGACTCATATTTTCTGAAAAGAGTGTTGAATGTTAGAGACCTCCTCCATCACCACCACCCACCAGGGCTGAGAAAGCTGCTTTTCCAAGGCTTCCATAGAGTGGGCTCTCCCAGCCCTCTAGGCTTCCTATCAGGGTTGGTACCACTGCAGCGAACAAAATACTACCATGGGGGGTTGGGAAGGTGGCTCAGTGGTAGAGTGCTTGCCTTGCATGCATGAGGCCTGGGTTCGATTCCTCAGCACCACATAAGCAAAAAGAAAAAAACTGGAAGTGGCGCTATGGCTCAAGTGGTAGAGCACTAGCCTTGAGCTGAAGAGCTGAGGGACAGCGCCCAGGTCCAGAGTTCAGGACCCACAACCGGACCCAAAAAAAAAAAATTACTACCATGGGTGCTGTCCTAGCCTTACTTTCTGGGTGGTGTTCACTGTTTTACTCATGCACAATCTCCCCTCTGGCATTTCCAGGGTCTTACAATTCCCTAGCTCACCACAAGGCTGAAATCTCACACAAGACCCAAAGCTGGCTGGAACCTATCCCAGTGAACTTGGGACCACAAGCCTCATTACAATGCCAGTCTGACAAACTAGACTTGATCATGAGGCAGAAGGGCGCTTGAACTCAGAACAGCAGCATTTGTATCCAGTTGTGACGTAGGCTCTCTATCAGGGCACTCAGCTTCCTTGGGATGAAGATCTAAGAGCCCTCACTAATTGCTTCTCAGAGAAATTTTGCCACTAATACCCAGTAATGGTGGGGTCCTGGAGAGGGTAAAGTGCTAAAGTCACTGCTTTCTAGAGGCCACCGCCTTCCTATCTAAGTCAACCTGAGGACTACGTTTTAAAGACAGCTAAGAATTTATTATGGGACTGTGAATGTGGCTCAGTGGTAGAGTGCTTGCCTAGCATCCATGAAGCCCTGGATTCAATTCCTCAGTACTATATAAAAAGAAATAACTGGAAGTGGCACTGTGGCTCAAGCAGAGTGCTAGCCTTGAGCAAAAAGCAGCTCAGGGACAAGACCTAGGCCCTGAGTTCAAGCCTTAGGACTGGCAAAAAAAAAATTATTATGGCATACAGAATTGGTAATGAATGATCAATTCAGGTAAAGTGTTTACAAAACACCTACCAGATGTCAAGAAAGTAGGAAAGAATAAGTTGTGGTCCAATATAGATTATATTTTGACAAGACACTAAATTTTTGCCTAAGTAAAAAGCATAAAAACAAAGCAAGGCACTGGTGGCTCATGTCTGTAATCCTAGCTACTCAGGAGACTGAGATCTGAGGATCGTGGTTCAAAGCCAGCCCTGTCAGGAAAGACCGTGAGACTCCTATCTCCAATAAACCACCAGAAGACCAGAAGTGGCGCTGTAGCTCAACTGGTAGAGTGCTTGCTTTGAGCTGAAGAGCTGAGGGACAGCACCCAGGCCCAGAATTCAAGCCCCATGACTAACAAAAAAGAAAAAAAAAAAAACATATAAACAGATTATTTGGGGGCAGTGTGAGACAAGGTCCCACTATACCTAAAACTCACCATCCTCCTGCCTCAGCCTTCCTAGTACTGGGATTAAAGGTGTGTACTATCATATCTGGAAAAAGAAGTAATTCTAATATAGCATGTTGTTAAACTTGAAAAACAATAGTAGGTACATGTAGAGCGAGGCAAATGGTAGGAAAGGCTTTGGCAAGAGGTAACCCCTCCGCTGAATCTTGAAGCAAGCATGTGTCAAGTAACTAGAGGTAGGAACAGTGATTCAGATACAGAGAATAACATATTTCAAGGCCCCGAAGCTCAAAGTATGTTTGGAAATAGGCAATTGAGTTTGCAAAGCTAGGACTGGGGCTGAAGCTCTGGAAGGCCAACAGGAACCAATTACAGACGGCAGCACAAGTTCGTTCAGTTAAGGATCAGGGCCTTTGGGAGAAGTGAAGGAGAACTACCAAAGAGTTTATGAGGAAAAAGAGGTGATCTGACCTGTATTTAGAGAACCATGTGCCAATGACTCATGTCTGTGATCCTAGCTGCTCAGGAAGCTGAGGTCTGAAGAATCATTCTTCAAGGCCAACTGGGGTAGAAAAGTCTATGAGATTCCATATCCAAAGTAACTAGAAAAAGGCCAAGCTGGTTGTGTGGCTCAAATAGCAAGAGTGCTGGTTGAGCTACCAAGCCTCAGAAACACTAGGCTCTGAGTTCAAACCCTAATATTAGTTAAAAAAAAAAAAAGAAGGAAAGAAGGAAGGAAGACAGAGGGTAGAATTGACAGATGTCAGTAGGACAACTTACAGGTGCTACAGGCTGGAAATCAGGAGTGGGAGGGAGGAGGGAGGGGAACACTACAGCTCCTCACTCAGTAGTGCCTAGAAGGAGAATCTGGAGTACAAGAGGAGGCCCGTTTGGGAATTGGCAGGAGAGTTCACATATACTGTAGTGAATGTGAAACAGCTCATGTGACATTCACTTCAAGTCACTGGATATACAATCTGATGTCTGAAAAAGCTGATCAGAATGGAGGGACAAAGGGTGAACAAATGCAGCTGTGGTACTCACTAGATACTATGTTGAAAATGAACTATACAATGGGGATGGGAGGAAAACTGGTAAAGTGTGATGGAAGGAGTGACTTTGTCCAAAAAGCAATGTATTCTTTTTTTTTTGGTCCCGTCTTGGGGCCTGAACTCTGGCCTGGGCACTGTCCCTCAGCTCTTCAGCTCAAGGCTAGCAGTCTACCACTTGAGCCACAGTGCCACTTCTGGCTTTTTTCTTTTTGCTTATGTGGTGCTGAGGAATCAACCCAGGGCCTCATGCATGCAAGGCAAGCACTCTACCACTGAGCCACCTTCCCAGCCCAAGAAATGTATTCTTTACCTGACTTATATAATGGTAAGCCCTCTATATATTACCTTTATAATAACAATAAAAAAGTTTTAAAAAGTTAAAAAAAAAGTTGGCCATCCATTAGAAGGCCAATGGAAGGCCAAACTAAAGTCTCACTTATTTAACTAGTAACTGAGGGGAAGTAAGTACATCTCCTCAGCCCCTTGTAAAGCCATCAACCAACCCCATCGAAGAAAGCAGAGGTTATCCCAAGTAGGTTTTACTGTAGCAGTTTCGGGGGGGGGGATTGTAGAGCATACACAGAGATCATCAGATTTCAGTAAGCCAAGACCCTGAATTCAGGTGGTAAGATCAATCCTGAGCACCCTGTTTATTACTGAAACATATCCACAACCTTGATTACAATCTACTGGATATGGGGCTGAAGGTACCTTCCTGGTACCTTCCTTCCAGTGGTAGAGTACCTTCCTGGCATTTACAAGGCCCTGGGTTGGAACTCCAGCACACACACACACACACACACACACACACACACACACACACAAACACCATTCATCTATCAGATGGAAAGAATTTTGAGATTGAGTTCAGATTTTAATCAGTGTGTCAACATAATTCTCAACAGAATGAAGTTTATCTTTTCTCACGTGAAAAAGCTTTATCTACCAACACAAACTCTTTAGGACTTTCTAAAGCTCTCACCCAAATGCCTAGGAGGTTCTCCATGGACCACCTGAAACAAACACTTTAAGAAAGGCTGTTCCTTCTCACAGAGGCCAATAATTAGAACTGTGGTCTTGAAATTTTGCAGTCTCATCCCTTCCTTCAGGAAAACCTAATATTTCATCGTAAGAAAGGACTAAAGCTCAAGAAAAGGGAAGGCTATGGGGCTGGGAAGGTGGCTCAGCGGTAGAGCACTTGCTTTGCATGCCTGAGGCCCTGGGTTCGATTCCTCAGCACCACATAAGCAAAAAGAAAAGAGCCGGAAGTGGCGCTGTGCCTTAAGTAGTAGAGTGCTAGCCTTGAGCTGAAGAACTGAGGGACAGCGCCCAGGCCCAGAGTTCAGGCCCCACAATCGAACACCCCCCCCAAAAAAAAAGAAAGAAAAAGAAAAGGGAAGGCTATTAGTCCAGTACTCCTGAGGCAGAACACAGGCCTCTGGCCCCTGATTCCTACTCAATAAACAACAGCAACCAACACTAAGAAGAAAGACGAACTAGAACAGGTAACCAAGCACAATGATTCACCCACCAACACAAGCTCTTCAGATATCCCTTCTTTCTGGTGAGGAAGCAGAACTCTAGATGCACAAATAAATTGCTCTCTCTAGACATATATACTAGTTCTTTTTGTTGAAATGTGCATACTACCTCTGGTCTGGCCCTGATGAGAAAAACTGAGGTTCACAAAAGAAAAGTCCTGAGTTTTCACTTTAAACAAAGCCTGTGCAAAGATCTGAAGTCAGCAGTGAAGAGCTACATTTATCCCAATTAGAAAAGATTCGAAGTAAGCTACTTCTGATACTTCCTATTCCCAGAAGTCTACAAACTGACAAAGACAAAGGGTGCTAGCTGTGAAGACTGGAAGACACAGGCAATATCCTACAAGTGATCACACTGTTCCATTCTCTAATCATATCTGTTAAGTTCTCTTCTTATATTGGTTAGGAAACAATGGCAAACAAAGGTTACAGCTGGCAAAACACCTGGAAAGGACAGAGCCTTTTCTTGATCCCAGCTTATATATATATGAAAGCCACCAGAACATAGCCAGCATAGATGGGCAGGATGAGTGAGAAAGCCTCAGAAAAGGTTCTCTAGGAGGGTCACCCTAAACCAGTTGTACCAATTCACCAACATCATATCCAATGCTCTAGAGTCTGCTCTGTACTTTCAATTCTTATCCTGATACATATACTCTCAAGGAAAACACAACTTGCTAGACAGTGGCAATGGAAGTGAGCACTGATCACTACTGACTGACTGACACTCTACAGAATTAACAAACCAAGAAAATAGAGAAACTTGCCTGAAGCCACTCAGACAATGCTGGCCAAGCATAGACCCAAGTCTCTTGGCTCCCCATTTGGGGCTGCTTTTGCCATATAGGAAAGACTCTAGAAGTAGTGGAGGTCCAGCTGAGCCCAGCTTCACCTGGTCAAGGCCTCAATCCTTTCCCACATCATTGAGCACCTTTTCTGAAATGCACACTTATAGTACACTCACATCATCACACAGTTGGGAAATTCTGAAGTTGCCCAAATAAGATGCATTTAGAAAGTGAAATAGAAGACCAAATTCAAGTCTCATTCATTTAACTATTAACTTGTAACTAACAAAGAGAAAAAGAGAACCCCAGTATCTATTTCAGATTCCACAGACACCAGGATGTGCAGGACCATTCAATTCCAGGTGCCAAGGTAAGAGGTGAAAGTATATTGTTAGAGGCAGTGAAAAAGCTCACAATGTTCAGGCCCTGACTTCAAGCCCCAGAACCAGCGAAAATAAAAAAAGTGTTAGCAGCAAACAGGTTTCCTGAAGTCTGCACTTTCCCTAATTCATATATATATATATATATATATATATATATATATATATATATATATAACTTTTTCATAAAAGAACAATTAGGTTAGGCCTTGATAACAAACTTATTCAGCAAACCTGCCCTCTAACAAGTTAACTTTCTAAACAGCCAGTAGTATTGGAGCTTTCGTTGAGTACTGAAATGCCCTCAAGGAAATAAATTAAGTATATAGCTTCCTACCTAGCTTAGTCTGAAGAGCAAACAGACTTATTAATGTGAAATTTTTCTGGGGCTGAGCTTGTAGCTCAGTGATAGAGCATGAATTTGACTAGCATAATGTCTAGAGCTTTAGGATTGATCCCTAGCACTAGGGGAAGAGTAAGGAGATGAGCTTTTCTCTCACTGGTACCAATGTTTGAACTTGGGTGCTCACACTTTTACTTCTGAGCAATTCCTCCAGCCCTAACTTTTGCAACAGTCTTCTTGCTTTCTGTCTAAGTACAAACTCCCATGTAACTACAATAATAGGCACACATCACAACAATCCTTCCAATCCCAGCCTCACAAGTAGCTAGAATTACAGGCATGAACCAAAGATCCAGAGAGCCACTCTGGGAAAAACTGCCACTAGTGATAACAGTGGCAAGAGTTTTTAACTGTGCTAAGCATCTCCTATGCATTATCTCACCCATCTATAATCATATGCAGTGGGAATAGTTATTTCTATTTTGGAGTTAGGAAGCTAGGATTCAAGAACCTCAAGATCTCATAAAAGTCAGAAATTGAACCCAGGTCCAAAGCCCATAAGGCATAGCTAGCCCTTACAACTGGGCAAAAAAAAAGAGACAACTTCCTGAGGCAATGACACAGGTCTTGAACCAGGAAATTCAACAATGTCATTTGGGTTTTTTCTCTTTCCAAAATATAAATTTCAACTCCAGATCATATCTTTTGGATCAAAATCTTAAGAAAATGTAAGGCGGATGGTGGTGTGGCTCACTGGTAGAGCACAAGTCCCTGGATTCAATCCCCACACATACACACCTGTCAGTAAAGCTCTTGATTTTTTTTTTGGGGGGGGGGCGGTCGTTGGGCCTGGTCGTTGGGCAGAAACTCTGGGCCTGGGCGCTGTCCCTCAGCTCTTCAGCTCAAGGCTAGCGCTCTACCACTTGAGCCAGAGCACCACTTCCGGCTTTTTTTTTTTTTTGCTTATGTGGTGCTGAGGAATCGAACCCAAGGCCTCATGCATGCAAGGCAAGCGCTCTACCACTGAGCCACCTT